ACTCGTACTTTCAAATTTTGATTGGAAACAGACGTGTCGTATACCATAATATTTTCGCAGATTTTCCTGCATCCAATAAACTAATAAGCAAGTATTATTATATATTCTTATATTTTTCAATGAATTGAATATAAAATACGCTACTTTTTGCATCACATGCGTTACAAAAACATGTAGGTTGCTGTAATGTAACATTTGTCTATCAGAAAAAGTGACAATATATTTATATAATTTCTCAAAACTTTCGTTTTGCTCTTCTTCAGAATTATACTTTTGTGGCTTCTCATTATCTAGTCCCAAGCCCTTCACTAATTTGACAGTATGTAACGTGTTATTATCATTACGTTTGAAGAGCGCGCTTAAAGTAGAATAACTTAAATCAGCTTGTTAATGTAGGGTGTCAGTTCAAAGAAAATGCAAGGTACAAGATGGAAGTGCACATTTACTGATGAATGAATATGTTCTATTTTGAGGATAACTTCTGAGATAACGAGGTGAAGAATGGTTGTCCATCGGAACTAGGGCTTATGTGAAGGCGTTCTTACCACTGTATATATTAGATGGGTGCAAATAACGTTATCACTGAGAGTTTTTGCATACATTTTCGTATACAATAATATAAATATTGGGGCACGCGGTAGCGTACTTGATTGAGGCACTATGCTGCAAGCCGGAAGGCCGCGAGTTCGATTCTCGATGACGTCATTGTATTTTTTAATTGACCTAATCTTTCCAGACGCAATGTGGCCGTGGGGTCGACTCAGTCGCTAACAGAAATGAGTACCAGGATTCTTCCTGGGGGTAAAGGGCGTTCAGAGCTTGAGGCTGACAAACTCACTCCCTTCTTTGAGCCGATTGTCTAGAAAATGTGTGAGCTTCTACGTCTCACAATCCTATAGACCTCCACGGCCTGTTACAGGGATAGCTTTAACTTTTTTTACTTTTTAATGTAAATATTATCGCCTGAGAAAAATCATTATATACCGGAAGAGTGGCCGGTCTGATTCGAAATCTCGGTAACAACCTTGAGGCTCTTCACCACTGTCCATTCCCAGAGAAGCCGTGAAACAGGAACTGTCTGCTATTCAACATTTATCAAGGTTCTCTATTCGGGGGGTTAAAACTTCTGGAGGTTGAAGGGGACCACACCCCGTCAAGGTCCGCGATGCATGAGAATACACTCGAAATTCCTCATACGCCTTCATGATGTGGTGTATAAGCACAGCAAATCTTTCCTTCATATTTCAATATAGGTCTTACAATGAAGTTTTTAACATGGAATTAAACCCACTGATCTTCTTAAGAAAGTAACATAGATTGGAACCCATATTTCTGATGCTCTTAGCTAGAAACCCGACCTAAAAATGGCAAGCATGTGCCGGAATATATCGTCCTAGACAATAAACTGTACCTGCTGGAAATATTGTTGCGCTGAGAGGAATGTAAGAAATATTGTCTCTATAGATTTGAACTGTTTGAGAACAAAATGATGTAGAGAATAATAGGATAAAAGGAGAGGAAGTAACAAGGGACCGCGAAAAATTCAGTAAATTACAAATAATATGTAGAAAGCAATCTTCTGGGATTTGGCACCGTGTATATGTGGTGTTAACCGACGTTTCGGAGGAATGTATCGCCTCCATCTTNGTACTTTGGTAATTTGTTGTCTACACCAGATGCCATGAGAATGATTAAGTCAAAAAGACTAAATGGGCGAGATGCGAAACAGACCTCTGAAAATAATACATTTATGTGAAATGTTGATAGGAAAGCCCTGAATGAATATGCCACGCGGGCTTTTATACTTAGATGAGAGAATATCAATAGAGTTGTTATTATAAATACTGTAGTATGTAGACCCGTTGCTACGTAATAACTCTTGAAACAACGGCCGTTGCTAGTTAATAACCACAACATACATACACGCAACAATATAAGAACTATGGTTTCTGAGTGGTCCTTGCCAAGGCTACGTAAGGAGTCGAGTGGGTGGAGGGAGTTCATTTGAGAGCAATGAAGTGAAAACTTAGTAAGTCAGAGAACTGCAGGTCAGTCGTTGTGAGCTGTTACCGTTAGCAGCTGGTAGCTGAGACACGGGGAGAGTTCGGGAACCCAGAATAAGGGAACTTCCGCCGTTGGAAGCCGTCACCAGAAGACGATTGCTGAAGACAGCGAATGAATACGCTTAGGGCGTTTTGTAGTTAACTGCGGAGTGTGTGAAATAGCGATAGCTCTATAATTACTTGTATTTAGGATTTGTAAGTGGGTAATAAATTCAATTACCAATCGGAACCCCGTCTATAGTCACTCACACACAAGACAATATAGAGTTTGAGAGTGAGGATTAAATTAAGGTGGCTCAGACTCAGTACTATACTCTCGGATTTTGTAAGATCAGGAAATATTTCGACCAGCAGAACAATTGTCAAACTTTTCAAGAATGAATATTTTCTTCTGGGACGCGACAACATGTGGTTTGGTAGAAGTTTACCGACGTTCCAGAGGAACGTACAGCCTCCACCTTCAGCTAATCAAGCATAGTGAAATGAACTTCTACCGGACTACAGACGTCGCTCTCCAGAAAATACTGTTCTTCGTAGTCACAGCTGTGAGAACCTTGAGTATTGCCAAGAATACTCCTGCACCATGGCGTCGGTTACTTCAGATGGAACTTAGAACCATATCTTCAATTACTTGTATCGTTTTTGTTGTCACAAAGTGCTATATCCCCCAAAGCCCCACTGCTGTACTGACTTAATCTGACGGCAATGCATAAGTATAGGAACCAGTAAGGCCTCACAGCCGTGGCTTGATTTGAACGTCCTATCCCTTGGTCCCATGAGACCAGATGTCTGTCCAGCTTCTAATGTGCTGCATTTGATACATTTCGAATACACAAACGTCTTGATAGTATCCAGTAAAGTTCTGCATTGATGCATGGACCACTAACTTCAAGCTGTAAGCATTTGTAAGTGTTTAATACAGCTGTCTGTCTCGAGTAAATTTAATTTTTCCCCCTAAATGATTTGTATATTCACATTACTCTTGCATCTATTCGTAGGTTTCTTAAGTGCTATTCCTCGTGATGCCTGTCACGGTAGCCGGACGGTCTAAGACGTGCACTGTTTTCATTCGCTCTGAGGCCTGGATCGTGGGTTCGAATCCCACTCAGGGCATAGATGTTTAGTGTGTCTGCTTCTTTTCTGTGTTTGTGTATAGGTAGAAGCCTTGCGACGAGCTGTTCACCCGCCCAAGGAGTCCTACCGAATGCCTAAAATCTAGTAAACCGAAGTGAAACGGAGAGTTTCATGGAAGTAAGCCAGGCTCAATTTGGGGCTGTAGCGCCAAAGGGAAAAAATTCCCCATAATGAATTTCAACCCAAATCTTGTAGCTCTTCCCCTTAAGCAGTTAACTCCATATAGCATATTCGTTTTGAGAACTCCCAGATGCTCGCTGATTCAAGAAATTACTTACTTGTATGGAATCCAATGATCCAGTGATTTTGTCGCAGAAGGATAGCCATTGGATCTTATGCTGAACCACTTTCCCGAATGCTTTTAATTTTTTCGTGAATATCGAATTCTGAGCACATTCATTAGGAGTCCTCGACCAATGGACAAACACTGTTTTGAACCTTCGACATGAAATCAAGGCGGAAGGCCCATCGCTAATGCGCCTTACATGCCCTTCCGTTGTGCTCGGCTCAAATGTCCATTAAAATATCCTAAAGGATGGTTTTATTGTCCCTCGAGAACTCGGGGAAGGGGACGGGTTTCTCTCCCGTACTTTCTGGTTCACTTTGCTAATATAATCATCTTCTCGTCTCATTAGACGTCAAATAATCTCAGACGTTACTTATTTTGGCTTATTTTGGACTTCACCCATCGTCTGGTATGTAAAAGACAAAAGACCACGATGTTTCGGAGACAGCTCCAGTCTCCGTAATTTATTTAATGTATAAAGTTATCGGTCATTTTTCTGTAAATATGAAAGAAGGATCATGTATAATTCAAGCGAGAATGTCGGGCAACTTGAAAGAATGCAAGAGCAGTAGATGGTTAGAGATAGAGTTGGGAAATACTCTCCATCATCTGTTGGTTTGTGTATTTGTGTAAGTAACTATCTAACTCCATGGAGATGAGCCCTTCTTGAGAATCCGTCAATTCTGCATCTAGTCAAGAACTGTATTTATATAATTTATATCTAAAATATTATTTGTTGACCATGGTGTTTCTTCACAGAAGCTGTACTGAAATAATAATTTTAATCATTTTTAATTTAAGTGTCTTTAATATAAGCATAGAACCTTTAACGACTTGTGCATTAGACACAACTTCTACGTCCGTATTTAAGATGTACATATATATATACTAGTAACGTGGAGAATAGCAGGCCACAGACAATGGACTTTCATCGCTTGTTATAAATAAAAGACCCAAAAGGAAAGAATGTGACACCACGTGCCGTTTCCTTTATTTAAGCACTGGTGATGCAGTCTGCAAGACGTGTAAATACAGGATATGTTGCTTTATAAATTAAACCTTGTCCGGTTGCCTAGCGAAGAACATTTTTGATGAGCATTAATTGTTTTATTCATTATATTGCATGTGGCATCCTGGCAAGCATTAGGTAGGTAACACAGAACGGAAGGAAAGGGAGAGATATTATAGAACAACACTTATAATTTTCATTTCATGCACCATGTTGTGTTATAATATACAATTTCTTTATTACAACCGTCACAACACAACTAAATTGAGGTCAGTGCCAAGTTTGGCTCTGCTACATGTTTCGGCTATTAAAAGCCGTGTATTTGCCTGATGATGGCTTTCAATAGCCGAAACATGTAGCAGAGCCAAACTTGGCACTGACCTTAATATAGTTGTGTTGTGACGGTTTTAATAGAGAAATTGTATAGAAGAAAACGGTAGAAGAGGATTTGTTGTATTGCCTTTCTTTGCTGAACGCTCTGTCCTCATTGACTGTTTCCCATTTGCAGAATTATGGTGAGTGATCTGTCCGAATACGAATGGAAGGAAGGCGCCTGGTGAGCATACACAGCTAATTTTGGTTTATATTTTGGTAGCTCGGGTTGCTCAGTGTGTACAGTGACCGGCAACGGGATGGACGGAGTTTCTGTGTTAAAAGATCGATATGAAGTCATGATCTCTAGGAACACAATTATCTTGATCTTAGAGGAGAAATGGTAAAGTGTACTAACGGAGCCTGTGCATTTTCTTCACTTAAACTTCTTCTTCCCTGTATAACATCGAAATTTTAAAATTGGTTTCATATTCGGCGGACTCCGTTACACTTTATGAAATAAAAAGAGCAATTAATAAAAATATTATAAAGTTGAGTTTAATTTAATTGCAGACATTTTTATCTAGACTGTGCCTCTCACTCTGAACTGAATACAACGAGACTTGCGACTCTAATGGAAATAGACACAGAATTTTGGAAATGTACCGGAAAGAGACAAATTGGAAAAGAGAATATGTTGCAATGATAATATGAAGATGGATTTTAAGTAGTCGTATGTGAACTGGATTGAGGGAAATACAAAATCATATTCCATGTAGTAGCTTATGAACATTATCGAATCTTATGGTTTTGCCACCTGAGTGATAGTAACTTGTACATTTAGTTCTAGTCTGAAAACTATCCAAGTACATCAAGTTATAACTGCAAATGTTTTCCCATTAAGAAAGACTGTACATTACCAACGTAAAATTATCGAACTTTTGAAAGTACTATTATATTTTAACATCCTATTGCACATTACTTTTTATTCAACAGATTCCACTGGTTCACCGTCTTAAGTGCAACGCATTCTTCTAGAAGTTATTTAAAGCTTTCTTACGCACACACCATGAGTCTTCTAAAGCTTGTTTAAAATCCTCTGTACATTGCGTATGTTTCGACAGACATTGGTCATCATCCGGTGTTTAAAAAATTGTTGGTGTAAAATGCTCTGCTTCAGTTTGTGATAGTAATATTCGACGTGTAGTCCCATCTACACGCTTAATGTGTTTTATGGTGCTGGGTGCCGCTTCCTGTTTTGTTGTGTGTCTACGCGCTTTTGTGTTTTATGGTTCTTGGTGGCCCTTCCTGTTGTGTTTGTCTTGCGCGTAGATAGGACTACATACAGAATATTAGAATCACAAACGGAAGCACAGCAGTTTGCACCAACAAACAAATTGTTTAAACACCTGATGATAACCAGTGTCGGTCGAAACATATAATGCCATGTACAGAAGCTTTTAAATAGAGTTTAGAAAACTCATTGTGTGATGTAAGAAATTTTAAATAAGTTTTAGAAGGACGCGTTACACGTAAGACGGTGAACCACTGACATTTGTTGAATAAGAAGTTTAAAAGCAAATATAGTCATATTATCATTAGTATATTAAGATGATAATCACGGAGAATGAGATTGGCTGGATATATAGCACGTATGGTGTAAATGGGAAATTCATACAAAATTTCGGCCGAATTAACCTGAAAGGCTCTTATGAACACGATAATGAAATTTCAGGTTCCGTGAAGGGTTGGAAATTCTTAGCAACGAGAGCGACTATCAGTATTTCAAGAAGTACTCTTCTCTTTGGACTAAGTTATCAACCAAATGCAACGAATCGAGTGTGAAGCAACTCAACTTTCCCTGGGCGCAATCGTTTAGGGGTCCTCTGGAGAACACAGAACTGTAAGACTGAATCATAAAAGATTGTGTACGATTTTGAGAAAAGGATAAATGAACAGCTTAGGACTTGTTTCCAGACGGAAATCGAGCGAAAGAAGAAGAAAACAAGTAAAGAGCCAAGTTTTCTAAGTTTTAGGGGAGTGGAGAGAAACAGGGAAAGAGCTCTTAGGTTGGAATCGACGCCACTTGACAAAAGAATAAGGGGTAGCTGGGTTCAGAGGGAAAAATCGACGTCTCTTTTCATCTGCTCTACATTCGCGTGAGGTCTAAAATGGCGTAAACACCACTGCCGTGCAGAGAGACAACAACTGCTTTATTTCAGTGCCGTGCTCACAGAAGCTCGCAACTGGACCATTGATAAGTCGGATGACATCAGAACATACCCTCAAATTCTTTTTATTTCGATATAATTTCTGTAAACTTCCATCTGTGTCTAGGTCTCGCAAATGGTTTATTTCCTTCAGGTATTCCATATGAGTTTTTCATGCATTTGCCATCTCTGTCATGCGTATTGTGTGTCCACAAATTTGAACCCTCTTCAATCTGCTCACTGATAATTTGTGATGACTACTATTATGAAGTTCCTCAAAATGATTGTACCTGCAGCAGAACTGCTTATATTACTGTAGTTTTCGTTTTTTAGTTTTGGTCTTCTGACTTGGACTAATTTAGATTTTAAAACGAACATTTCCTTAGCCAAGTTTCGTGTATGTTACTTTGTGTCAGTTTTAATTATTGAACGCAGATTGTTTTATTTCTATATACAGCATAAATAATGAATGGTATATCGTCTGGTGTCATAATGAGAAGTTATAGGCACTTGAAGTGAGAGATTACTTTGAAATCACATCGAGAAGGAAACAGGACAGCATATTTCGTTAAATTTTAGTCGGGAGCTTTCCGTAAAGCGAACGATGAAATTGAGCACTAGCTGAAAAATATTCGGATACGACATCGTGGAATAAAAAGACTGAAACGCTTACAGTATCATTCTGCTGAAACTGTTTGCGCATTAACCTCACGTTTGCGGACAACCAGCTGATGGTACTACTTGTGTGAGACGCGTCGTAGCCAGTGTTATGTACGTCATTCACATAATCACATTCTCGTACACTGTGGGCGTGAGAAAGTATAACATTAGACCGGAGTTGTTTCATTAAGGACTAAAAGTTTAATATCAGTTATTTCAATGACACTTCAATTCAATTCAAATCAATTCGTGTTTATTTACGTGCAAACTTAACAGCACAGAGGTCACTAACAAAGTTGGCACGAGTACATAGAAATACAGATAATAATAATTAAGGTAAAAGTAAAGATATCCGTGCAACAGGCCCTGAAGGCCCATAGGGTTGTGAGACGTCAAGGCTCCCACACTTTCTCTATACAATCGGCTCATAGATGTCGGTAAGATTGTCAGCCTTACGCGTCGGCCGTCCCTTACCCCCCAAAAAGATTCCTGGTACTCATTTCTGTTAGAGGGTGAGTCGACCCCGGGGTCATAGTGTGCTGGAAGGATTAGGTCAATTAAAAAATCCACCTCATCGGGTCTCGAATCCGCCACCTTTCGCCTTAATAATAATAATAATAATAATAATAATAATTCCAGTTGTCTCTCTCAGGCTTCAGAAATCATCTATAAAAGGAAATTATGCTGTTTAATGCTATATATTCACATNGCTGACCACGCGACACCTTCTATCCGCCGACAAGCGGAGGTCGCTCGGTTTGTATAGTTCGCTTGAGGACTAAAATCACTGTGATTTATAACATAATAATAATAATAATAATAATCCAAATCATATTTATTTACGTGCAAATTTAACAGCACAGAGGTCAATTACAAAGTTACCAGGAGTAAATAGAAACACACAAAAATAATTAAAAAAGGAAATAAAAAATAAGACAGTCTATATAATGGGAATAAATTAATAATAATTCCAAGAAAAATTAAAGTTAGCGTCAACAGGCGAGGTAAATGAAATAAGTATATTTTCAGTGGTTATTATGCATTTAGACATTAAAAGAATATACGTACAAGTAATGAAAGTATTCAAGACCAGGCAAAAGAAAGAATATTAGATGGTCCTATTAAGGACTATTGCAGTGATATTGGGGCTGAAAGGAAACACGCAGTTGATGACGATGTTGTTTCCTAGAGGGTGATTAGTACCCCTGCTTCGTATTCTGGACTGCGTGACTTCGGACATCAGTTCAGAATCTAACGCTCTTCAGTACTTAAGGTAAATGTTGGGAGTATACATTAATATACACCGTTTCCGATTCATGAGTCTGTTCAGTTAAAGAGAACGACTTTAAACTCGAAAAATCCGTTGCGACTGCGCTGTGGTTGTTGTCTCCGATTGGGAAAAGCGAACAACTCTACTTCTTGTAAGATTTGAGGCTTTCACGGCGGTGACTATGAAGAAAGCAGTCTTCTGGGGTTTGGCACCATGTATATGTGGTGTTAACCGACGTTTCGGAGGAACGTATCGCCTCCATCTTCAGGGTAGAAGGAAAAATATAAGAANCTACTTCTTCCCTGATCCATGCACCGTACTTGTGTCACTGTTATCCTGAATTGTTGTGGAATTGAAACGATTTGCCCTCAAGACCAAGAGACCGACTGGCCAGGAGAGGGTGACGAAGAGAAGTGGTTTAGGGGTGAAAAGAATATTGGCAGAAGACTGCTTCTGAATGGGGTTACTAGTGAGATTCGAGCAATGTTCGACAAAGTATCGGATGAAGCGACCTGTTTGCTGTATGGAGCAGTAGAAGGGGGAAATACCTTCCAACTTCTTCCTTTCTTTTTGTGCGTCGTAGACAAGTGTCTTGGTCAGACCAAAAACGTGAGTTTTGCAGGTCATTACTGAGACATCTTAAGAGGAAACAAAGCGAGTATGATTACACCTAGGATCACACAGTTATACGGAGAATTTGTAGAAATAAAATTTAAGATACTGGAAAAAGTGGAAAAAGTCACACAAATATGAACTTACAATTTTCGTAGTTCAACCACTTTATTTGTAGTCTAAACAAAAATGACAGGATGGCAACATGATGAATAAATGGGAAAACAGGACATGGAAATCTTATGTTAAGACATCTCTTGGGGGACAAAAGTGCAAAAAAGAATACTGTATGAACCTACAGTATGTTGTTTGGTACTTTCTGTTTAATAACACTTGTATGCAATTACTGTAATATCAATAAATGCTTCATGTTAGATCTGAGGTTCTCACGGCTGTGAATATTAAAACTGCTGTCTTCTGGTATGTGACGCCGTGTTGATAAGTACTGTAC